AAATGGAGCAAATTTTGGTGTTTTTTAATGCTTCAGTGGGTAACTTTTCAGTAAGATGACAATGTTTCTTGCATTGCTGAGAAAGGAAATAATAGATTATATAATTTTTAGCTCTCTCTTCATCTAAAAATGTAATGTCATAACTCCTCCATTTCCATGTTTTCTGCTTCCCGTTATTTCTAAAAGAATGAGTCAGAGAAATGGAAACATAGCTGCTGTGAATAATTTAAAAGTGGTCTGAGAATAGCTAACCATTACTTCTGGTGATGCTGCTTGTGATGGTTACACAATGATAAGATTATCAAAAGAATTGTGGGAGACAGAAAAATGGAAGAGCTGCATTAAGTCATGCAGTCATTTTTGCTATTGTATGATTATGCCCTACATTAGTTTTACTAATGGCTTGTCTGGCTACCTCTGAAAAGTCAGAGAAAATGGATTTCCAGTATTTCACCAAAACCATCTCTATACCTTCTGTATCCAGTGAAAGATTCTTTATAAAAAAAAAATTCATCGTACTACTCCTAAAGTCTGCTGCTACCTAAGACACTCCAGGTCAACAGAGACAGTGATCATTCCCATTCCCTTTCATACAAGAAAAGAAGAAATATATTTCATATTTCATATTTGTTCCATTACTAAAATGCATGACAATACCCATGAAGGATTCCACAGCATTTCATAAAAATTAGTGAACTTATTCAATACATTTCCTGATATTTTTTCTCTCATCTATTCTGTCCTTGCTCTTTCCATCACAAGTGAGTGGAATGCACAGCCCAGAGTTTAGAGTTTTTGTCCAGCCAAACTATTTCTGTTTCTCTCTGAAAATAGGATGACACCATGCTCATCCTAAATATTCTCTCATTAGCAAAAGGATAGGATAAATTTACTTTTCTCCATCTTCAGTAATTGTTAACAAATTCTGTAGTCCTGATTCTGTACATGACGGATACTGAGGTTAAAGATGGGAAAGAATATCACTTGTTCCTTCATACTTGCTTTGAAGGCTAATACCATAAAAAGCAACTAATTTATTCTTACTTTTTTTCTGATTTCACTGTTAGATAAAAGGAAATTTTGGCCTTGCCATAAGCTAGAATGCGCTGAGAACTGTAAGATCAAATTAGACTGGGGTGGGAGGATACCATTTTCCCGACTGCAAATTCAGAACTTAACTGCCATTTCAAAACCAAGATATTCTGTTTGCTTTTCTTCTGTTAACACTGTTTTCATAAAAGATTTTAATCCTTAGCTCAGACAGAGAAAAGGTCTGGAATTATAGATATAAATGGCTCAGGGATACATGAAAGCAGTGGATAATTTTTTCTCTGTTGCCTGCCAAAACAGAACAGTGGATATTTCCCATTTGGCATTACTTTAATTAGCTGATTCCATTGTAACTACACAATTACCTATCTATTAGTATTGCTTAAGCTCTGTTAATTTTTTGAAAAAGTCTACCTGTGAAACAGAGCCCCTTCTTACAGCTCTACAGTGAGCCATTTTCTGGCTCAAAACCAGGCAACCACCAGCATATAAATACGAAATGATAGAGAAAACTGAGTTCCAAGGAGCTGTATGATTGCAGGATTGTGGAAATCAGATTTCATGTTTGCCTGACAGCTGACTTAACTGGGAGAAGCTGATCACCTCTGGTCTTCTGAGCACTGAGCGGACACCAGGAAGCAGTCTGATCATCTCTTCATTCTTGAACAGCACATTGCCTCATCAAGCCCTCCATTAGAAAAAATCTCTCTTGCACCTGTGTTTGACAAAAATCATATGTTCTGTTTGAGATTTGAAATTTCTCTGGTTCCATGTTCCATAAATTCCAAGTTTCCAGCCAAAGCTCCTACCTTATCTTTAATCAATGGTGTTGCATTTCCAGCAAAAAAAAAAAAAAGGAGTTGGGCAGCTCTGTTGCTTCCCCTCTGCAGTCTATTGAACTTATGTATCATAAGCATATACAAAACTGAGACCAATGCCTTGGAAATCTTTCTAAGCTTCCCCTGAAGGCCAAGCAGTTGTATTCCTCTCAAATTATCTGTGCTTTAAGCCTAACAACTGCAGATTTTTCTCCAGCTTCTCTATTTATCCTTCTACCAACATTTTCCCCCTCAAAGATTCAAGCAACAGTTTTGTCTTTAAGGGAACTGGTCATTTGTAATTGTGCTCTTTCTACAGGATAAATTCAGTTTCAGGGGGAAAAAAACAACAAAAAAATAAAAAGTCACCGATCATTAAAGCTTTCTGATGTTGTTCTCTGTCAGAAACAATTTCAATTTTGTTCTGACTTTGGTAAATTTCACTTATGGAACTTAATAGGTTAGCAGTTTAGATGTTTCTCTGAACTTGGGGAGAAAAGCAGGAGGTGAGGCAGGACAAAGGGCTTCTCAGGCAGCGATTGAAGCAGCTGCTTCTTCAGCTTGTGCTGAAGGACACAGGGCAACCTTTTTCTCTGAAAGTACGAGCAGTTTTATACATGTTCACTTATTTTTTCTCCTTTCTTGTCTAGAAGATATCAATGGATGAATCTCGATATTTCCATGAATTTTCCCAACTTAAAAACGGCTTGTCTCCAAAACACCAGAGAGATGAGCCAAGGAAGGAAAAGCAAAACTGATGCATGTCAGCTGCACTCAGCATCTGCACGGCTTTCCCAGGCAATGGGATGATTGGCTGACAGAAAGTTGCTAAACAATCATTCCATGCTACGCTTTGCTTTGCTTGCAGATGCATCACCAGGTAGCTTACATCTCAAGCATTCTCCTGCAGCCCTTTCATACCAGCATAATTTTCCACTAGCTGCCACACCTTCAGTGATTATTGAGAGGAGACAGCACTCCTCAGCCTCTCACTTGTTAGTGAGAGCTGGACAGGATTAGCCCACGCTGAGGGGAGTTTGAATGCACCAATCAGAAAAAATCACTTCCCCCAGCCCGCATGGGATTGGCTGAACACAGTGGGCACCACGAGAATATGAGAAGCTTTAAGTCTGCCTAGCAACCAAGAACGTTCTGGAAGCATTAACAGTTGATGGGCAGCAGGTGCTGGTTTCTGCCTGCTGCACTGCAGCTGGGTGCTGTGGGTGCCTGCAGTGTTTAGTCCCTTGCACTTCCAGCTGTGGTGTAATTGCACTGTTTCACTTGCCTTCTTTTTCTCATCCTCGTGAACTTGATGCATTTCTTCTTGGTAAATGTGGTGGCTTGCTCCTTTGGGAAACTGGTGCTGTGAGAAGATGGCTGCTGTAAAACTTGCCTGAAGAAAAGGTGGGAATTGCTGTCCCAGCTGCTGTGGGTTCCATGATAGTGTTAAGCTTTTCTAAATACAGTTGCACAGTGCTGGCAATTCCAGCCCATGCTGTGCAAGCAGCTCACCTGCACTGAGATGGTCTCTGTCCAGAAAATAGTTTTGTGTTTAACACTCGGCCGGGGCGTGTGCTTTCTATAGTTGATTCCACCAGGTGTCCAGCCTGCGGTCCTCTTTTGATATTTATGAGGTCAAAGTTTTACACTTTCAGTGACTCATTTTCCGTGCTGCGCTGTTGTTAATTTAAAGCTGAGCAAAAGGATGAAACCGTGGATTGAGGGGTCAGAGTAAAAAGGTAAATCGATAGCTTCCATATTCAAATAGGCTTTGATAACTCCCTGCAGCCTGTTTTCTATTCCTTTTTGTTTCATCCTCTCCTCTAAAATATAACAGAATGTTTCTTATTTTGGTAATAATTCACTACATTTAAGGAATGTTGAATTCAGCCAAAAACCATCTTGCAGAGCAGATCATTCACTAATGGAGAAAAAGGACTCCAGTCTGTTCATAAAAGTAGCCCATAAGCTTCACTGGGGATTTTAATTTAAATAATCACTGAGAGGTGGGACTGAGAGACTTGGATTTTTGCCTGTTAATGAAAATTTAAAGAGTAATTACACTATTAATACATATCAAATCCTTTTTTTCTTCGTTTTGAAACACTTTAAAATGCAGTGTAAAATACTACCACTTCTGCTCAAGGGGGCAGGGAGGAATATTTTTGTTTCATATCCATGGCAACTCTTATTTTTATTAGTCTTTAAAAAGAATTTGCTACTCTTAAACCTCTTTTTAAAAAAGTTATTGAATCATAGCCTCTTTGTTTTCTATTAAAATGTGTTTTCTGTTTATTGAGACATTGAATAGCTCTTCCTTTTTAAAAGAGTATAAATATAAAAATGACTATTAAAGAAAAAAGAATTCTTTAAAGAATTTTTCTCACTTCAGTTCAACAGCCTTAAATATTTCAATACTGGGTAACTCCCAGTATATTCATTTTTTAGGCTAAGGTGCTGAGGCCTCTCCCTTTTAAGAGAATCAGAATTTTGGGTTAATCTCTAACTTCTGATAAAATTCTTGCCTTTTTCCCTGGAGATACGTGTCCCATATATTAATTACTCTGTCTTTACCTTCTTCATATTTAATAGGTGAAATTTATGTTGTGGCTCAGACTTAACATTTATTGTAGGGAAGGAAAGGAACACTTCAATATAACCTTTTATGGTTGTTTGTTTGTTTTAATGAATTATTCAGTATTAGAAAATAAGAAGACCAAAGTTTGTGTTATGTAAAAGTACTGAAGCAAGGTTCCTTTTCTTGTAGGCTCAAGAACATGAAATGTTGAATTGATTTTAGTAATGCCTTTCAAGTGAAATTAGATTTTTGGGAAACTTATAGGAGTAGAAGGAATCAACATTAGTAACAGTTTATAGTATCAGTGGGAATCCCTGGCAATGATTCTGATGTGACCTGGAAATAACTTGTGGCTTCATCAGTGTATGCACTTCAGCAGCATCTTCAAGTTAAGCTGCTCTAAGCTTGCAGGTTTTACTAGTAAGCTATCCTTGGATTAGCCTCAAAGTTTAATTTTCATCAACCTTGCCACATTTTTCATTATAAGTTGGTCTAAATACACTTTCACTGTGGAAAAATGCAAACAACATTAACTTAGGACCTGTGTCATGGTTTGCCAAAGGTTCTCTGAGCGTACATTCTAGAAGCAAGGAGCCTTGCTGAGAAGTGTGCCACTGGACCTACCCGTGCAGGTGGAGAGAGCCAGCCAGCCAAGTGTCAGTGCAAGAGGGGCTTCCCATGCACTGTTTAGTGGGCAAAGCTTGCTGCAGCTGAGGAGATCATGGAATTGGCATCATGAACCCAGGACGTGGAGAACTGATGGAGGAATGCAATAGGTAGGGAGATGCATCTTCTTTCTGTCTTTACATCAGTGCATTTAAAACTGTTTTAGTCTCATGCTGCAATTGAGTTTGTGAACTCCTTGGTCTTTGTGGAGTTGATGGCAGGAGAAAGCTGACAGCTTGGAGATTGGATATTTTGCCTTCTTGTCAGCTAAGCTAATCAGTTATGAAGAAATAAACATTTTAAAAAAAACTCTCTTTTGTCTATCTCCTGCTAAAAATAGTCATGTAAAACGATAAAATTCACAGCTTAGAAGTGCTTTTTAATTTAATATTAAATTAAATTAAGATACTTGCTTAAATACAAGACCTAAAAGTGGACATTGTATTCTCCATCATTTTTTTAAAATAAATCCTTTGTTATTTTTAGGTTCCAGTGTCTTAACTGATTAAATAGATATAATTGTGCATTATAATAAATATTTTAAAAGACATTTTGTGGTAAATTAAGCCTGTGAAATCAATGTTGAATATGTGTTTAAAAAAAAAAAAAAAAAAGCTGTGAAAAGTGAATTAGCTGTTTGTTTTCACCTGAGGGCATTTGGTAGGCTGTATTACTTGTTTTCAGATCTGATTGGAAAATGTTTATTTTTCTCATGATACCATTGTTTTGATGATGAATGCTCTTGGATGTTATGCTTGTGAATTGTTTCCAACATTTCTAGTCAGGTAGGTGTGCTGAAATGTTTAACTTATGTGAAAGTGTAGTATTTGCTCAGAGATACAGCCCAGTTTGACCTGATGCAGCGTAAAAATGGATTTGAGTACATAAAATTACAAATTCCATGTTGTGTGAACATGTTCTAGAGTTCAAATTCCTAGCAGTGGAAAAAATATATTGTATATAGGATTGGTATTTTGAATGGCATGTGCTTGTTTTTATCTTTTGTGCCTACCTTTGTAATTGAGAAAGTCAGTGGAGGAAGAGTACCTAACCAAGTGTTAAAGATGAGTTATAAGAAAACATTGGTTACTATTGTGTTGTTTTGGAAGTGTTCTAATCTGAGAAACACAGGTTTGATTTGCTTTCTGCACTAAGACTACTTTTCAAGTCAGAATTCAGTCATGCATAGTAATCTTAGTATATCAGCTGTGAATGAGGTTTCTTTTGAGTTTGCTCAGTAACTCTGTGACTGACATGGAATGGGAACATGGGAGGACATTGAGACATTGAGGCAATGTGTTATGGCAAGGTGATCCGATAAAAATTTCATCAGACTGAGAAAGATGATGCAATAGAAAGAGGACCTGAGCCAGTTGCTATATGAATATATATATATAAAATAATATATATATTATACACATATATATAGGGAAGTCCTGCTCACCACAAAACAAACAAACAGATACAAATTGATTCCACGGTGCCTTAAATTTAAGTGAGGCTTGATTTTCTCTATAGAATCGGTTGCCACAATGTCATCTGAAGAAGTTTCTTTTACAATATAAAGCTTGAGCTCTTATAAAGCTCTTTTAGTAGTGTGATATGTCATGCACCAGTGTTGAATGTTAACTGTGATGAAATGAATGTGTTGTGAGGAAAAAAGTACTATTAAGAATTCGAAGGGGGAAAAAAACCAAACAAACAACCTTGCAGAACTTCAGGTCATTGCACTCCTGTTCCTTATTGAGTGCATCTTCTGCACACTGTATGTGGGAACTCTTCTTTTTGGTATCCCAAATAAAATCCGTTGGTATATTGGAAGTGCAGAAATCTAGGTGATAATGACTTCTAAACATGCTTTTTATTTGCTTTTAAATTTTCAGTTCATGAGAAAAATAAACTATTTAGGTGGATATATGTATTCTCATTTATAAAATGGTGTGGAAAATTGTGCTTTAAAGAATGCATTGCTTTCAAGCAATTCCCATAAAATCAATCTACAGTGTACTTCTCTCAGTAGTGGAGATCTTGCTTTCAGAACTTAGAAACACCTTTAATCAACAGTTACCTCCAGCTCAGGTTTTTTGCCATTTATTTTTGTGGGTCAGATAAATTAGAAAGGAGTTTGACTCAATTAAGGAGCAGCAATCACAACTGTAAAAACTTTAGCAATTTTTTTTTTTTTAAATCAACACTATGCAATATTTTTAGAAACTCTTGTCCCCACTAGAACCGTGAAAGAATTCTGCAAGCAACTGATTTCTTTTTTTTTTCCTTTCATGTCTGTTGTTCAAAGAGCATCTGGAAAGTTCTGTTTTTAGTGTAGTGTGAGTAGTATTTCTGGCTACTACATGTAGGAGTCCAATTCACATCTGCAGTCTGTCCTTGGAGCACAAGTTCTCTACTGCTTTCTAAATCTTCTGAACTGTTTTGAACATGTTGCAGAGTGAAGTCCTTGGGACCTGGTTGGCTTACTGCTAGGGTACAGATCCTGTCGAAAGTCACCTGGTTCAAGTTTGCTGCACGTGTTTCACACGGCGTGTATGATTGTTTCCGTTCAGCAGATACTCTGGTACAGAAGTATGAAGTCTGCGCCAAGAGGAAAACCTTGCATTTAAGTTTTCCTGTTTCAAATTGGTTTTCCAACTGACCAGGCTGCAGTAGTTAGGGTGGTGGCAGGAATGTTGTTGCTTTCTTTTTCCTCACCTGAGAACAGCAGACTGTAATTTACACAAATGTCAAATGAAGTTTTACAGCAAATCCAGTCATATTAAGTCATGTCTACGTATTACGTAGTCAGGGGCTGTGTGATCTATACTTTTGTTTTCTAATTAGTTATGCAATGCATTGAAACATTAGGATTTGAAGACTCAATCATAAATGTTCCTCACAAATATCTGTATTTGCTGCATGGGGAGAAGAGGAGAGAGAGAAGCTATTTGTTTTCAAAAACTAAAGTTTCTGAAGTGGAAAATATTTTCTTTAGGTCAATTGATTATTGACATCAAATATTTCCATTTCTCAGATGATGAGCTGAAACAAGTCCTGCGTGATGAGAACAAAGGCTGCTCTATTATAGAGGATGATTAGACTTCCAAACCTAATTATCCCCTTTGGGACTCAGCACAGACCTAATGCAGCTTGGATTATGGAGGCAGGTTCTTCCTTTCAACTTTGTTCAATAGATTTCTGACAAGTCTGTTCTTACAGATGATTGTGCTTCAGCATAATGATTATAGAAATCTCTGTAAAGGAATCACTGGATTTTTTTTATTATTATTATTATTATTATTACCTTTTTTTGGTAGTTAGAAGGGAACAGCTATTATGTTTACCTTCGTGGCTTCTTTTTTCCACATTATTTTTATTCAGATATTTTTTTCAAGCACATCCACCCTTACGTTCAATATATTAGAAGTGATTGATGCATTGAGTGTCTACCATCTGTATAACATTTTCATTTGCAAAACAAAATTGTCATCTAAAAGTGCATTTGTGTGATCAATTGAAGTGGTCATTGAGCAGTTTAATTGCCACATCTAATTATAGCTTGATGTGCTGATGAATGGCATAGGAGTTAAGATAAACTGGGGAGTCGCTGAGAGCTACATTTGTGTGTAGACAGACTGTGTGACATTCAGACAAGAACATGGCTGCTCAGTGACCCCTTAAGGCTACCAGTGAAGAAATAATAGGTTGCAGGTAGGCCCTGGAGCTTCAGTGATGAAGTCAACTGATCAGCTTTAGGTGTTTCCAGTAACTGATCTGTACTGCAGATCCTAAAACATTAAGGCATGTTTGATTTTCAGAGGAGGATAATAAAAAAATATATATATTAAGTTTAAATCCTAAGCTTCACTGTAAACATTAGTGCTTTTTTTGCAGTCCACACTTAACACAGAATACATTTTTAAAATAACTGTAAGTCATGTGGCAAAGTGCATCTGCCCATCTCTTTTAGTTCTTTACTCAGCACTTCCATTACTGCATTTTTTTGTAGGTAAGGTATGAATAGTTACAAACAATAGACAGGGAAAACAGAAAAATTTTTCTACACTTGTAAATAACAGGAACTCAGTTTGCATTTAGTGGTTTTATATTTTGCTGGTCCAAAGTTAGAGTGAGTACAGATTCAAAAAACTTTGTTCTAAAATAATAATTAAAACATTTGTTGATTAGTTTGTAATTTACTTTTTATTACTAAAGCAGCTGTCTTTTTCTTGAAGACCAAAAAATTGATTATTATTGTTTAAAACATTGACAATTTAAATGATTGTAATAAATAATTTATTGAAATGATTATAAGATGATAGTTAAAATACTGACTGCCTTGCTTTGCTGATTTCCTTGATTCACTTCTTGAGGAATTTTTAAACAAGCATTAGGATTTCAATAAACCTGCTCATTTTTTGAAGCAGTGTATGAAGCAACCCCAGCTTTGGCAAGTATCCTGGGAGATGAGAAAATGTAAATTGAGTATTTGCTGGTAGAAAATCAAAGTAGAAGGTGGTAGTTTTGATAACATCATAATTATTATTCTTGGATATAGAGTTCAAATTTTACTTTAAGGTATTTTAAAGATGAGGATCATTGTATCCTTTTGTGCTATTTTGTGCAGTTGAACACTGACAGACAACATAGAAAACTTGTATTTTTCATGTATTTGAGACCAAATTATAGCATCAGTTCTTTGTGTTTATCCAAACAATCCATTGCTCCAGTACTGGTGGAGTTTGGCTGGGTGTCTCATAGCAACAGTCCTTTAAGAATCTCCAGTCATCCTCTGTGATTTCGATCCTGCTTGTTATTGAGAATAGGAGAAGGAAATAAATAAATAAATAAATACCACGGAAGTTTTAAGGTGCTTTTATTAGATGTGGCAGAGAAAGGGGCTGAATTCTGAATATGTTTGTAGTGGTGGTGGTGGTGGTGGTTGGCTTTTTTTTATAATACTGTTTCAACTATGTCTTGAGGCTCAAAGAACATGGGAAAGAATGGAGGGGGGAAAGGAGGGAAAAATGCCTTGACATCTAAAACGTTTCCAGCCCGCTTGTAAATATGGGTACACCCACTCCTACACTTCAAAAGCAGCATGCAAAATTTTTCTCTT